AGCCTTGAGTTTCCCTTGATTTTGAGCATTCTTTGAACACCTGGCTCCAGTTTCAGTCCCGGCTAAGTTAGGAGGGAACACCCATCCCTCTCATCCTTTGAATGCCAAATGGGATTTATGGTTTTGGCCTCAAACTATGCAGAACGTGTTAGCTTTGGCCAAGTTTCACTTTGATCCTGAAAGTCCAAATGGAGCTCAGAGGAAGTGTGTGGATGTGAAGAACATGCCCCCCAAATTAACTAAGCCCCTTTGCAAATCAAAACAAATTAGCTCTGCCCAGAATGACTTTGGCTTCCAGAAGTTTAAATCAGATCCTTTAATGTTGCTTTAAAGCTGATTTAATTTTTGTTTTGGTTATGCAATATATACTTGAGGCCTTCCCAGTTAATTCCAGATCCCACAGAATCATAGAATATTAGGGTTGGAAGAGACCTCAGGAGGTCATCTAGTCCAATCCCCTGCTCAAAGCAGGACTAACCCCAACTAAATCATCCCAGCCAGGGCTTTGTGAGGCCGGGCCTTAAAAACCATCCAGAAATCTCTAATCATCCAGTGGATATAATAAAACCAAACTCTATTTTCCCCCTTCTAGACCTACATTGGGCAAATCTTGGTCTCTGTGAATCCTTTCAAGCCCCTCAATCTCTACTTGGAAGAGGTGGTGACCCAGTACCAGCAGGGGACGCTCTCGAAAAATGCCCCGTATGTATGCTTGTTTCTTCACAACTAAGTCCGTTCATGATTCTTAACCTGCAGAGTCCTGTGTTGCCCCTGGGCTCCCAGGACCATTTCACTTGGCCAGAGGTCATCTCTGGAGTAGGACTAGTGCAGTGCGAAGTGTATGGTACGTCCAGCACAGGGGTACTTGTATGGCACTCTGATATTGTTGCTGTAGGTGCCATATGCCATGTTTTATTGGCTAACAGTTTCCACCTGAGGAGCAAAAGTGGGCCTGATGCAAACACCACTGAACTTCAGAAAAGCTTGGACTGAGACCTGAGCTGTACCGTTGGGCTTATCTCTTCTAATGTGAGAGAGACTGAAAAGGACGTCACTTCAGAGTCTGTAACCCTAATCGAACTTCTCTCTTCCCCTTGCAGTAACACTCTGAGGGATTAAGATGCCAGAGACTGAAATGAGACATTTATTGAAATCTCCCCTAGCCTGACAAATGTCCCTCCCTGTGTAACACTATAATGATACTCAGTACTTACATATCCAAGCACTGCCTGGCCCAGCTGAGCCACAGTGTTGAGAACAACATCTTCACTTCCAACCAGGTTGGAGGGCGTTTAGCCCATGCTAGTGATAAGACCAAGCTGTGATTGGTGGTTCAGAGCTGGATGCAGAACCAAACAAGTTCATGGATCCTCAGGTAAAATGCTGGCTTACAACCGGGTCCAAAACCCGTTGCAGTAAATGGGAAAGGCTCCCCTTGATTTCAGTTGGGCAGATGCTTTTGTCTAGTTGCTGGATCCAGCCACTGTAATAGCTTCCCTCTTCTAGCTTTTCCTTCAGCTCAAGTTTCCTTCAGGTTTAGCTGAAGGTCCCAGGTTCAATCCCTGCCGATGACCAAAGAGACTGTGGCATCCCTCGGGATTTTGGCAGTAGCATTCCACCATTGCTAACACCAATGCTGCTCTGCTGGAGCTAGCAACATTGGGAGCCCTAGTCTGGATGAGGCTCCTGTGGCCACTGGTTTGTTTAACTTGCTCAGATTGAGTCTAAATGACACATGGCATTTAAAAAGCTGTTGGCTACAGGAGCCATAGTCACACTAGGGTTCCCAAGGTGGCTATTACAAGTGGAGCTACAGTAGAGAGAGATTTGCCCTCCCATGTCCAGCTATACATATGCTGCCATGGCCAGAGCTGGCACTAGGCATAAGCAGATTAACCAATTGCTTAGGGCCCTGAGCAGCTCAATGAGCCCCCCATTCCCTTTTTATTATAAGAACTTGGCTGTTTTAGTATTGTGGGGAGACAGGAGGGGACAAAAATATTCCTGTTTAGGGCCTCCCAATGAGCTAGCACTGGCTCTGGCCATGGCTCTCGGATCTGAGATTCTGTTACAGGCCCACCTCCAGTGCGGATATCCACGAACTAACCCCTGATACTGTGTTTGTGCAGGCAGGAAATCAGGGCCGAAGTAACAAATGAAAATTTTTTTTCTGTTCATCTAGACACGTCTTTGCCATTGCAGAAATGGCCTACTCTCTGTCCCAGACTTCAGAGCAAGAGCAGTGCATCGTCATCAGGTAGGAAATGAGGACATTATGTGGGGCTGAGATTCCTCTTCTCCCTCCAAGTTTTTGCCCCATTCAAACAACTGTTCCAGAGGATTGAAAAATAGCACACGTTATATGCATATTTTAACAAGACTCTCTGAGTGATCCAGGGAATTATAGACCAGTAAGCCTTAGATCTGTGCCTGGCAAAATGATTGAATCTATAAAAACAGAACAGCAAAACACCTGGAAGATTGTGATATAATAAGGTTTAACTAGCCAGATTTCGCAAAGGAAAATCATGCCTCATTAATCTCTTAGAATTCTACAAAGCCTTGTACAAGGTTCCATACAAGAGGCTACTAAAGAAGCTAAGAAATTATGTTCTAAGGCAAAGTATTGTCTTGGATCAAAAACTGGCTAGGATACAGAAAGCAGAGAGTAAGTTTAAATGATGAATTTTCATCATGGCACCCAGTTAACAATGGGGACCTCAAGGTTCTAGAGTAGGTCCTGTGTTCTTTAATATATTTATTAATGATCTGGAAAGGGGGTTGAGCAGGTAGGTAGCAAAATCTGCAGCTGTCACTCTCACACCTTGGGGGATGCAATCCAGACCAGCAAGGGGTTGTGTCAGCATTTGCCCTGCAACCCTGGGTGCCTTACAATGCTTTACTGCTATAGCTCCCATCCTGGTACATTCACAGCCAGCCCACAAGCATGTAGGTCACACGCTGAGTGTGTGTGGGTTTGTGTGTGTGTGTGTGTGTGTGCTAGACAGTCCTGGTTTAGCAGCTCTGACCCCAGCAGCCTGTCTACAGCCCCCTATTCTGGCCTCCACCAGAATTTGTTACAACCTGAAAGGTGACCCCACCACATGCTCAGTCCCAGATTTCCCCAAAGCCATGTGCTCTGCAATGCCCAGCCCTCTCCAGGACAGTTCAGAGAAATAATAAGGTTCATTGCTCCTTTAAAGAGACAAAAGCTCATCACAACTTATTCACCATTCCCTGAAGATACAGTACTGAGTTGTTTATAGTGAAAATAAAACAAATGTATTAACAATAGCACATAGATTAAGTGATGCCAAGTACAAGAAATAAAGTTAGACCGAGTTACAAGCAAATAAAAGTGAAGACACGTTTCTAGAAGTCTAAAACTTAATCTAGCTAGGGATCGGCTTTATTCAAGACTTTTTTTCTCACGTAAATTCAGTTCCCAGACACTTCAACCCCCACTTGGTTGAAAGACCCATCTTTCCCAGTTTGCAAGAGCTCTGTCCCCTTGTGTCTATCTAGTGATGGATGCCAAAGATGTCTTCTGTCCTTGCTTATATCTTCCAAAGTTCAATGACCTTGTTTCAAGAAGCAAGATGGCCTTATGCTGTTCTTCCCTCCCTATGGACTTCCCAACCCCTAGCTGATTTCTGTGTAAATGGGGCTTCCACTGTTATTGGTCTTATCTGGCTTATATTTCATTGGAGACAGGTAGATAGTTGCCTTCCCTCCTGCCTGGGAGCGAATCCTGTTTCTCCCTGTTTGGTCACAGACTTTAAAGCCTAATATCATTAAATATCCATATTTCCTCATAAAAATACATACATTTCAGAATGATTATTAGTCACCAATGTGCCATTAGCTTTCAGAGAAGACCTCACTATACACTTTTATAAAACAGTAATACTGTACACAATTACTTGATTCAATTGCTTATCACTCGAGGTTCAGCTCTCCCCCTTCCATCTTTATAGACCAAGAAATCTTTTCAGTGTATTATTTGGATACTCTGTGCAGGACTGCTCAGCCCATCTTAGAAAGTGCATTACAGAAACCTGGAGCGGTGTGGGGGAGGGTTCAGAGAAAAGTGATAAGAACAATCAGTGATCACGCTGTCATGTGATGAGAGACAGGAAAGATTAGGGTGGCTACCTTAGAAAGGAGATGAATAAGAGGGGGCATAAGTCTATGAAATAATGAATGGTCTGGAGAAGGTAGATCGGAGCTTGTGTTCTCCCTGCTGCACAGCAAAAGAACAAGAGAACTTTCAAAGACATGAAATGGTGGAAAGTTCAAAACCGGTCAAATGAAATACTTTTTCACGCCATGTGTAATTTAAACTATGGAATTTATTGCCTCAGGAAGTAATTGAGTCTAAGAACTTGGCAAGAGTCAGAAGGGGTTGGACACTAATATGGATACTGAGAATATCTAGGGTGGTTATAACTAATGATAACACTGGAAAGGCTGTTAAACCTCATGCTTCAGGGATTAAGCCAATCTCTAACCAGGAGACTAGGGTGAGACCTACTTTGGGAAGTAGATTATCCTACATCTGCCCACTGTGGGTTCTTACACCTTCCTCGGAAGAATCTGGTGCTGGTCACTGTCGGACAGACAGACCTTGAATCTGATCCAGTCTGGCATTTCCTATGTTCCTAACAAACAGCCTTGCCCTCTTGAGGCATCTCCAGGTGCCTCTGAGCACGTGGGAGACATGCCCACTCACAATTGGCTATGCAGGATGACATTTATCAGTGTCACTTTTGAAACAATCACCCCAGCATGCAGCACTTCCTGGCAGGGGCCCAGAACAGGAGGGCCAGGGGGCCATTGCCCCCCCCCACTTTTTACCGACCATCAGGGCAAGTGATGAGGGGACAGGAGCAAGCGGGGGGGTGGGGCCTCAGGGGGAAGGGGTGGTATGGGGGCATTGCCTTGGGGATGTGGCATGACATGGAGGAGGCGGGTTCACGGTTTGGGCTCCTGTGACTCACCCACTTTTAGGCCACTTCCACCGCTCATGCTTCCTGGAGTGATGTTGCCATGTTGATCGTGCTGATTGGTTGCCATGGCAAATACATTGCTGCTGGAAGAAATCCTGTCTGGGTAGATGAAACAGGATGACATAAAATTGTGCTGACTGGCTCTGTGGGATGTACGACATCCATGGAAAGGTTAATATGTAAAGCCAGAAGCCTTAAAAGGTTGCTTGATTACAGTGCCCTGCCCTCAGAGTATGGTCAGACTGTCAGCCAATGACAGTTTTGTTTTTATGATGTCAGCCCGTTTATCTTGTATTTCTTTGGTTGCATGTTGTCACTCTGTCTGGCCCAGGGAAGCTGTGTGAATGGATAGCTGGGAAAAGCTAGGACTCCCCTTCCACAACCTGCTTGTGTAGTTTGAACTTAGCTGCTCATCTTAGGCCTGAGCTGATTTCCCCACAGACTGAGGTGGGAAGGGAAGTGGGTTGGCTCTGGGTCTGGGGTTTTTGCTTGGGCCAATTTTTCTAACTTGCTGCCAGACTTTTAAATATTATGGGCCAGATCCTGAGTTGTTGTAAATCATTGTCTTAGGCAGAGCTATGCTGACTCACACCAGCTGAAGATCTTGCCTAATTACTCTAGGCACAGCTAGTCCAATTCTTATAGCCGTCTCTGATCCTTATCCCTTTCTCCCCCAGTGGGCACAGTGGATCAGGTAAAACGGAAGCTGCCAAAGCAATCATGCGGTACCTGAGCACCTTGTACCAGAGACAAGACAGGCCTGGGATCAGGCAGGTAAGGGGTGGCTAATGTTTCTATGTACTGTGACACAGGCGCTGGCTTCTTCCTTTCCCAGGGGGTTCTGAACTCCCACTCAGCCCCAGGCCCTGCTCCCCTCCACCTATTCCCGCCCCTGCCCCTCCTCTTCCCGCCCCTACCTTGCCCAGTCCCACCCCCTCCCCTTAGTGTGCTCCGTCCCAGCTCCTCCCCTCCACCCAGCTCCTGCATGCCATGGAACAGCTGATCGCAGCAGGTGGGAGCCACTGGGAGGGAGGGGGAGAAGTTGATTGGCAGGGCTGTCAGTGGGCGGGAGGCGCTAGGAGGGAGGAGCTGGCTGCTGGTGGGTGCTTAGCACCCACTAATTTTTTTCTGGGGGTGCTCCAGCCCTCCATCCCTGGAGCACCCACGGAGTCGGTGCTTATGTACTGTGATGTGTGCTTATAGTCATGTTATGTAATGCACTACAGGAAGGTGCTCAGATACTATGGTGATGAGCACAATATAAAAAACCGAATAGTATAACATGGAATAGAATGGATCAGCATGGAGTAGCTAACATCAAGCTGACCAGGACTGAAAAACACAAAAGCAAAGCAGGGGCTCACACTGTTCATGTCTGTTCTTAAGTTGGAGGTAGAGAAAGAGGCGTGAGTGTCTGGCATCAGAGTGTGGCTGGCCATGTTCACCATGAAGTGGAGCACTGGGGGCCACATGTTTCAGACCATGTCTTTTCAAAGGTAGCTGGTCTAGCAGTTCAAGGCCCAGACACCAGCCTGCTAAGATCTGGGGCACCAGGCACTGGCGTCTAAGGCCGGCTTGAACCAGTGAGAACATTTTCTAGCTTCACTTTCACCCACTGTTGTGGGTGAGCAACAGCCATCGATAGTGACACTGATCACGTGACCTGAATCTCGATTTGGAATTCAGGTCACGTGAGTGCAGACCCACAGGAATGTAGTTTGAAAGAAGCTGGAGTCCCAGTGATGTCAGTGGGGTGTAGGCACCTTTGAAAACCTCCTTGAATGTATAAGGACGCAGAGTGAATTCACCGCTCTTGGGTGCTTGGTGCACAGCTTTAGAACCCTATGCCGATAGTTCACAGGACAGGCAGCGGTAGAAGCAGCACAAGCTTCCCCATCCTACACATCCCCTCTGGCTTGGAAGGCCCATCTGTAAGGGCAAGATGGTTTCAGTGGTCTGTTCAGGCTTCTGAACTGTCTCTCTACCAAGATCGCCAGAAAAGGTTCCAGTTATGGCAGAGATGGTTTTTGTGAAGCTGGCACCTACCTGTCAGGAACTGAGCAACTGAAAAGCAACTTGTCATGCTTAGGTCACTAGGTCAATTTGTGTCATGCTTAGGTCAACTTATGTCATGCTTAAGTCCACAGTGAGGTGGGAATAACTATCAGTCACTGCCAGCCTGGCTTTGGGTCCAGTTAGTGACCTAGTGCTAGAGGCTCCATATCGTATTACTGCTTCCTTGAGCTGTATCCCCTGGCTGGGTGTTGGATACACCTTGTGTTTCTGGTCATGTCTTTCAGTCCAACGCCATTGGGACAAGGACCATCCCTTTTTTCTATGTTCATAGGGTACCTGGCACTATGGGGCCCTGGTCTCTGGGCAATGCCACAGTGTTATCTGGTTGTTAAATATAAGTTCTTGTATCCTCCGCCCTCTCCCAGCCCTGTGACGTACTGCCCATTCTGGAGAGCTTTGGGAATGCTAAAACCATCCTCAACGACAACTCGAGCCGCTTTGGGAAGTTTCTGCACATCCACCTGAGACCGTGAGTCAAAGGGCACTGCCCTTAGCCAACAATGCAGTGATGCATGCTGGAGCTGGAGGAGAATGAGCCAGGCATGCACAGGAACAGATCCAGTGTTAATCTGCTGGGAAGTGAGTTGTGCAGGGGTGTTGTGCAACAACAGCCCTTCCTCCCCCACACTTTCTATGGGGGGCGGGGTCAGCTTGCACCGCTGGGTTTGCTTTGAGTTTTGTCTACAAAAGAACACATGAAACCTGCAAGATTTCCCTGCTTGAAACCACCAAGCCCCTATCTATTGTGCTCTCCTTATTACAATAGCACTGAGATCAGGGCTCCATTGTGCTAGGTGCTGTACATACACCCAGGGAAAGAGAGTCCCTGTCCCAAAGAGCTTACAGTTTAAATAGATGAGACTATGGGGGAGGGGAAACAGAAACATACAGAGATTAACAGACTTGCCCAGGGTCACACAGCAGGTCAGTTGCAGAGCGAGAACCCAGGTCTCCTGACTCCCAGTCTAGTGTGCCCTGCCTGCTGGACCTCTGTCTGCTTCAGAGTGACAAGTTACCATGTTTGAGACCAGTTACAACACAGTAGAAGCTGGTGAGGTTCTGGTAACATGGCTGAGTCTTGCAGTGCAGAGAGGACTGAACAGTCTTAACTGTGGAGCTGTAGCATGGGCTTGAACCAGTGAGAACACAGTGAGGCTCGGGCGGGCTCAGGCTTCGGTCCCCCTTCCTGGGTCGTGAAGTACTTTTTGTTGTCAGAAGGGGGTCGCGGTGCAATGAAGTTTGAGAACCCCTGACCTGTCCACACCTACCATGCTGCTCAGTCATGTTTGTGTCACCGCATTCCAGGAAAAGCTCCACCATTGCCTTGCCAGCTGGGCAGCTGCTGCAAACCTTCCTCCTTGGGGAGGGCCCTGGGGTACATGTGGTGGAAACTGGGAAGGAGTCAACTTAGAAGCTATAACTTTGACATGGCAAATACTTTATAAGTAAGGGTCTGTAATAAAACCATCCCTACAGCATAACTCCCATGTAATGTTTAGGTCTCTCCTAAACTCCAGCCCCTACAGCACCGTAGGAGCCAGAGTCATGGATCAGGACCCCACAGTGCTAGGTGCTGTACAAACACAGGACAAAAAGCTTGTCTCCGCCCCAAAGAGCGTACAATTTAAGTATAAGACAAGAGACAACAGGTGGATCTAGACAGATGAGGGAGCACAAAGGAACAGTGAGCACATATGTGTGGAGAATGGTTAGGGAACGTGCACAGGTTACACCTGGGACCATTTTGGGGATTGCTCAGTCTGGATCTTTTTGGTTTGCTGTGTGTAGAGAAGGGAGATCCAAGTGCCCCTGAATTTGGGGAGGTTGTTCACAGTCTAAGCCTGGATCCAGATGCATATTCTAGAGCTGGCTCCTTTCTCTATAATGGAGCTGCTCCAAGATCCCAGCTCTGAAGACCTCTAAACTTTGGAGTCGATGGGCTTTGAAATTCAAATCCAAGTTTTGCATCTTGGATTTGTATCTCTGGGTAAGGACTCCCTCTGCCTGGCCCCCTGTACAGAGTATATGGGTCTCCAGCAAACCCTCAGTCTTCTCTCTCAGAACCCTTCCCCCCTCTCTCTCGCACACACAGTGGGGTCGTGATGGGTACGTCCATCTCCCAGTACCTTCTGGAAAAGTCCCGCGTTGTGTTTCAGGTAAGAACCAACCACCCCCACTTTCCCAGACAGGTCAGAATCTCTGCATGTCTAGGCTGTGTTTGTGGGTTAGGGTCTATGTTAATTACCAAGTGCAAGGAATGCCTGCAGCTTCTCTAGTCAGATGGCAAGAGGCAAGCCCTTAGTCCTAGTGGAAGGTAGTAGAGTTTCAGGTTAGCGTTAGCCTCATGTGTCACCTACATGGGCTGAATCTAGTGAGGGCACAGGTTGAGCTTTATCAAGGTGTCTGCAGCCCCTCCTATGGTGGAGCCCTCCATGCACCACTCTGCTGCCCTGCAGCATTCCCTGCTGGGCTAGTCCTGGGCCTCCCCCGCGCAGATGCTGCCAGCTGTGATGAACTGTGTGAACTGTGCTTTTGTGAAATGGACAAAAATCTATCAGGGCCTGGGTTCAGACACTATTGACGTGGGAGCATAGGTGCCCAGAGATGATGGACTAACCCAGATGGCCTTGCCCCTATTCAACTTCTCCATCCAAGCCCCCTATCTGTTTTTTTTTGTATGGTAAGATAGATCACAGGCCTCACAAACACTTTACTCAGCTGTAGTGTCTTTTTTAAATGTCCAACCATTACAGCACTTTCAGCACGTTCTCAGTAAACCCAAATCTAATTAGGTGATTTTCAATGACTGACTTGATTAAACCCATCGTTACCATTGCCAAACAATTTCTAGAACTGCGGTAAAGAAATTATCTCACTGCTGCTGTCTGTTTGACATCGGCGCTGCACAATGCATGAATCCCATAACTATTGTTTATTTCTCTAGTGCCATATTAATGTATTAACTAGGGCTATCAAGCAATTTAAAAAAATTAATCGTGATTAATCACACTTAAACAATAGTAGAATACCATTTATTTAAATATTTT